AGTTATTAATCATGATTCGATGAAATTACAATTTGATTTCATAACTGTTCCACTTTTTTGTTTTGGCAAAAAAAAGAATTCTGCAGTTTATCTATAACTGTATGATTTCAGTATATTAAAGCATCAAATTTTTAATTTCATCTATATAAGTAATTTTTTTGTTGTTTTTGTTTTGTTCCATTTTTTTTTTTAAATTATTTTTTTAAAAAAAAAATAATTTTTTAAACATTTTCAATTTTGTCATTCGTAGTCTTCAGCAACACAAAGTCTGATAGTAATTCCTTTTTGCGTACAAAATAATATTTTACTTTTAAAGTCTGTGTTTTTTAAACTTTTGAAGTTTAGTTTTTTTTTTTTAAAAGGCATAAGATTTGCTCTAATTCATGTATAACTCTCAATTACACAAACCTTGTTCAATGAGACTTATCTCAAATTTATTGCGTCTACTTTTTTCTTTTATTTTATTATCTAAATTTCAGTATTTTGATATAAATATTAGTCATTGTTGAAATAGTATTTTGATCAAAAATTACAAATAGTGATAATCTGAGAATAGCATTAATACATATCATCGGCGTAATTTTGCTATATTTAATTCATAGGTATTTGTGCGCAAATGTAAATGTATGAGATATATGATAATTTTAGCTGATATGAGATTGTGATTTGAAAATTTTCTTTACAATTTCATTTTTGAAAGATTATTTAACAAAATGTCATATATTCAGTGCCAGATATTTCATTTATGCTACTTGAAGGGATATTAATAAAAATATTGAAATTAAAAAAAAGAAAATCTATTCACAATTAAATTTGATTTGATAAATTGTTTCAGCTCAAATCTCACTTTTTGTAACATTTCTTTTTGTTTATCAACTTTTTAAATTGAATTGTGAAATATTGTTTGTTGATTTTTTTTTTTTTTGCAATTTCTTTCGCCATTGATTTTCTGTGAGTACAAAATATTCACTGCTCTTAAGGAATCTTTCATATCGAAATTCTATTAAGGTATTTCTTACTTCTTCATTTCCTATTTTTTGTACCTGATAATTTCTACTCGTTGCAAAAAAAATTTCCGAACACTAAATTCATTTTCATGTGCTGTTTACGTGTTTATGTTGACGTCTCAATACTCTATCCATATATTCTTTGATTAGTTAAATATTACTGCATATTTTTCAAAATACATCAAGAATTCTAAAAGTATTATTTAATACCTGGTAACAATATTTTACTAATGCCTGTTTTTTTTCTGATTTTTTGTCATATTTAATTTTATAAAGAAAAAATTGCTATGATTAAGAAAGTTTTAGATTGTAAAAAATCAATTGAAATATTATAATAAAAATCATCGAAATTTTTTTCATTTGTTGAATATTCAATTTATACCTTAGTTTTTATTTCTTTACAACCATCTTTTCCTCTAATCACTTTCTTCCGATGGTTTATCTCAAAATTTTCTTAGTTATTCTTATCAGTTATTTATAGATTACATGTAATACCTTTGTAGCAATTTTTTTTCCTCCTTTTTTATATCTTCTTCGTTCGTTGTCATATGCTTCTGTGAACTGATATTTTAATTAAAGTCATTCGATTTCAGATTCCTCTAATTATGATAGCACTTTTTACCATAAATTGTATTATCTGAGTTTTGCGAAAGGAAGTTCTATAGTTGTGATATAAATTCAATTATGATTACTTGGAATGCATCATATTTACCTTTCAAATTTACTTTCCTTTTTCTTCTACCTTTCGTATCTCATGCACACCTGGTTTTGTATGACTCTGGGTGGTAACTTCAATTAATTTATCATTTTTGAATCTGACGACAGTACAATTGGTACTTCTTCTAGTTCCATGATTAATTATATCTTTGATTGAATTGAATTTGAATTTGAGGAGTTTAAATTTTCAGAATTGTCAGTGTAATGGTGGCTATTCGTACTATTCAAAGCTATACTATCTGATTTACTATTTATATTGCCATTTCTGGCTGACGTTAGCATTGAAGTCGAGATTTGAATTCTCAATTTGAATTGAAATGAACTGAAAAAATTTTTAACGCTAATTAAAATATAGGATAGCTTTTAGTAAGTGTCTGTTTTATTGATTCTTCTTTCTTTTCATCGTTTGCAACTTATTCGTTATGTATCCCATAAAATTGACTTGCACAAAAAAATAAAATTAACATTATTTTTCAGGGTTTTATTGGCAAATAAATATACCAAATACTAATTTCCTCATTTTCTGTTCCTTTAAATTTTAATCGATTAACAAAATTTGTTGAAATGAATGCTAATTGTGATCCTACATCGAATAGTGCTAATGATGTTTTTGGTTAAATTTTCAAAACTTTTAGTTTGGTTTATGATATTTAATTTCTTCACACAGAAATCAAATTCTTTTATCTTCTCTTTGATCATCTCCTATACTATTCATTAATATTTTTTTTATTTAAATTCTTTAGCTTAAGAATCTTATTGTGGAGTAACACATAGCGTTAAGTCATGCTATATATCCTTTTGCAATGGTAGCATAATTGCCTTAATTTTCAACAATTTTTTGCTATACAAATTCTTTGAAGACAATTTAGGCTTAATTTAACTATAATTATCTCCAATGCCGGATCCGTTTTATTTTCTTTTTTTTCACAAAACTCATCAATCATCCATGTTAGTTCACTAGGACATTAGTTCACATATATTTGAAATAACTTGTTTGTCTGATATAATGGCATTTGATTCAGTGAGAAATGATTTTGACTCATACTTTCATTTCATTTCAACACTTTGAGTTTCTCTACGACATAGCAACACAATCAACCATTTGTATACTAAATTTTGTTGATATGTTAGTGATAATATCATTTTCGCAACAATTCACAATTGATATGCTAGTGATAATATCATTTTCGCAACAATTCACAATTGATATGCTAGTGATAATATCATTTTCGCAACAATTCACAATTGAATGCTAGTGATAATATCATTTTCGCAACAATTCACAATTGATATGCTAGTGATAATATCATTTTCGCAACAATTCACAATTGATATGCTAGTGATAATATCATTTTCGCAACAACTCGTAATAACACAATCATCTTTCCTTCACTTTCGCAAATATATGCGAATCGTTGCGAAAGTGATGCTCCTAGACTTATATTGCGCAAACAGTGCACAAATTCGCTAATGTTATTTCAATTTCATTTCTCTAAATTCACTGAGTTTTTATTTCTCAAATAATGCTGGCAGATAAATTCCGATTCAATGAATGAAATTTTAGTTTTTATGCGCGTTAGGTGGGTTTAATTATTTATGATACAATTTTAAGCAAAATAGTTATCAATTTTAGGTATATTTATTTTATGGATTCAATATAAAATTCTTGTATAATTTCAAAAATGCCTTAACTTCTGTTTCTTAATAAAATAATTTTAAAATTACATTTTTCTTCATCTGTCATTTCTACATAAATTTCCTCTTCCATACTTTTGATGCATATGAATAATTGTCAAGCCAAATTCAAGAATATGAATATGTTGCATTATCCATTTTAACTTTTCTTCGATAATTGTATTCCGATTTTGTGTAGTTAATTTAATTCTTTTTTTTTTTTTTTTGGTAGAAAACATATTCTGTTTTTCTAGCATTAATGAGCAATTTTAATTATAAACAAATCAAAACTCAATTTACTAATGCTGCCACTGATGACCGATTACTTTTAAAGTTAATGCAATCGGAGTTATGTGCAAAGTTTCATAAGTTTGTCGCAATTATTTGATTGTACTTTTAAAACATTTCACTTTACACCGTACCTCTGATTAAATTTATTTTTCTCTCTCTTCTTCCTCTCTCCCTCTCCGCCTCTCTTCGAGCCATTACTTTCCCATCAAACTAGTACCGTTCGCACTCTTTCGATTTTTCTATATCAATAAAAGTTTTTTTCACATCAACATTTTATCTTCAATATTATTATTATTTATTAATCATATTATTATTATTGTTATTATTAATTATTAATTATGGATGAAAACCATCTAATAATGATTGACAGTAAATGTCGAAACTTGAAAAAATTCAATATTAATTTTCACTGTAAAAAATATTTTAAAGAAGAACGAAATGATTTATTCTTATTATACACTTTTCATTTATTGGTCTCTTCTTTCCTTTTTATTTTTTTTTTTTCAATTTAAAATTTATGCAAAAAAAGATTTCCTTTACTGTTTGCTTATCTCTTATCATCTCCGTTTACACTTATATTTTCGCATTTCTTTAGAAATAATTTCCGATTTAAAACTTTTTCGAATAAACTATATTTAATAATTGTCCATCATAAAGTCACACAGATTCTTTTGTCATTTTAATATCGTAATCTCTTGACAATGTCGGTTTCCTTTATGCTTTTTATTCTGTTCTGTGATTTCAATTTTTATTGTCACTGATTGGTCGAGTACTTATGCAGTGAACTGTTTCCGGAAAATCAACTAACATCCTTTACTGATTGGAATATAATTAATGTATGATCGCTACTTGTTATGTTGACGATTATGCTGGTAATTTTGAAATTCAGTAAAGAAAGTCAAAAAGTATATTTTCTCCGATAATATAAATATCGAGTATCTTTTATTTTTATTGTACCAATGTCATATACATCAATAGCATTGACCTGAAATATGCAACATTATGGAAAAAGTCGTCGTACTTCTCTTTAATGACAATTTTCCGGTTTAACTCGATTGCTTCCACATCTATGGATTCATAGATGCCAGAATGATTTCCGGGAGACTTTTTTTTTTTCGGAAACTCTTGAAATGAAACTTCTATTACTGAAATTATTAAAATTTCCGTTGAGTCTTCGTTGTGATCGCTACTCTTCGTGATCAGTAAATTAATCAGAAATTTTGTTCTTTTTCTGATTACAGATCAATAAGGTTTGATTACAGATCATCAGCACTTTTCTCATTTTTATTATCATTTCAAAATTGATTTGCAATGAACAGGTGATTCGTTTCTTCATTCTTTCTTACTCTTTCAAATGAAAACTTGATTTTATCTAAAAAATTTGTTTTGTCTTCTCATTCCTTTCTTAAAAATGCGCCTGCTCTTCTGTTTTTTATCAAAAAAAAAAAAAAAAAATGAAAAAAATGATAGAATAAATTGATAAAATTGTCTGATTTAACTGATCGATGGCTTTAACTGATCAAATTAGTGTATTTGAATGATTCAACAGCAAATGATGAAAAGATTATTTTTATGTTTGAGATTTGTCTAACTATTACTATTATTATTAGTGATAGTATAATTAAATTAATTATACTTCTTTATCATTTACCTTTTTCAATAGATATTTTATTTTGGCTTTTTTGGTTGCTATCGTTGCCATTATTACATTCATCGTAACACCTTCATCAGTATTTCAATGTGAACACTATAAGTAAGTTTTGAATTTTTCCAAAAAATGAGCCAAACTGGCAGATTGTGAGTAATGTGCAAAGTGAGATTGCATAACTTCAAAAAATTCAGAAAAAAAAACATTTAAAAAGTTTGACACTTTGTCGACGAATGAAAGTAAATTGTTGAAATGTACTAATTTTTTGGGAAAATTGATGATTCATTAATTCTAATTGTTCATTTAGGTAACGCTTGAATCAGTCGTAGTGGTCGATGATAAGCTAACTTAGATTTTGATTTAAGTTAGATTGGGTAAATGTTATGTGGGATATTTCAACAATTTGTTAATATCTGCAAATTACTTTAGATTGCCGAAACCACCAAAGTTAGAAGGCATTTTAGCAGTAAATAATATATTAACAAAAGCAGAATATCTTCTGAAGGATAAAATTTTTGGCCCAGAATCAATTATTGTGGAGAAAGGTTAGTATTATTGAAATATTTCGAATCATTCCGTTGAGATTATCTACCAGAAACATTGCTAATCCAAAATTTCTTTCTTTGATCTTTGATTTTTTACTATACTTTTACTCAAAATACACCTTAATAGCACTGTTATTATCACTGTTATCACCATTATTATCACTGTTATCATTAGGCTCATTCTTCTTTATTGTTATCTAATTCTATTTCTAGATAAAATTGTGACAGGGATGCAAAATGGAATGATAATTTCGGCAGAATCTGGAGTTATTCGGAAAAGTCTTACATTTGGGTCGGTCAATCTCGATCTCTGCGGTTATTTTTACTTCTTTTAGAGAAAAGTTTAGATCGTAAGTAAACTCCCAACTTGTAGATTTTAACATTTAAGACAAAAATGAGGTAATTAGTAGAGTGGCGATGTGATAAAAAATTAAAAATTGAAAATTTTATAGATTCCGAACATTTGTTTTCTAAATTTTACTTTTGCATTTAAATCTAACTTATAAACTTTTACTTTTCTCAGGTAAAATTTTCTAACAAATGACCCATTTGTTAAGACGGTCGATTCGATATGGAACCGAAATGTGGTCGACCGTTAGGTCTTCGTCGATTAAATGCTGAAACTATTTTGGCCATTGATACTTATTTTGGCATTTTCTCCGTCAATTTTGAAAAAGGTAAGAATTTGCGATTGTCACGTGATTTTTTACGGAATTCTCTTTGAGTTCGGTCATTACTACGTATATACGCTATAAAAGGTTACGTTGAATATAACGTTCTTCTGACAGAATTTCAAACTAAATTGTTTTTTTAAGTGATTTAAACATTTCTATAAAATTTCGATAATTTTAAATAAAATCTGAGCACGAAATAATCATTCTAATGGTAAAAATGTTCTACGCATGTGGAATCAAATTAAAAAAAAAAATTTTAATAAATTTTTAATAAAAATATTTTAATATATTTTTAATAGATAAAAATTTTTAATTTTTTTTTTAAGATAAAAAAAAAATTTTAAAAGATGGCTCAATTTATAATCGATAGAATGCCTAGTCCGAAGGTATTGTGCGTTATAAGCTATTAATTTAATGATTAGAAAAGTAAATTTAGTTGTTTTTTATGGAATTAACTAGGATTATGTAAGATAAAAGAATGTCAAATATAATTAGTTTAAGGTTTAAGGACAACATATGGTAATATTAGGGAATCAGACGGAAGTAAATGGTAAACCAATGAAATTTCTGAACGATATTGACGTGGTTGATCGGGACGTACTGATATTTACGGATTCTTCCAGCAAGTGGGATCGACGCCATTTCATGAATATTCTCTTGGAGGGTATTCCTAATGGAAGGTAATTAGCATTAAATTAACTGATGGAAAGTTTGAGGTAGTCGTAAACTTATTTAATAATAATGTAATAAATAAAAAATATTGGCAAAGATTTTTGTTTTCCATTTGTAGAGAATGAAGTAAACAAATGGCAATCTGTAAATTAAAATAAAATTAAAAGTTAGATTTGGAAGTAAAAGTACAAAATTGAATTAGAAATTTCCTAAATTAAAGAATAAAAGAATAACTTAATTGCTTCCAAATATACAGTATATTGTTTCTTTTTTCTCAAACAAAAAGATCAGAATTCTAGAACAAAAACAATGAATAATGCTTCTTATACAGAGTTTTGCGCCTAACACGATCAACTGGAAAAATTGAAGTCATTATGGATAAATTATATTTTCCGAACGGTATTCAGCTATTTCCTGACAAACAGTCATTTCTGGTTTCGGAAACAGGCGCTGCTCGGATTAAAAGATAAACATTTTTTTAAATTATGATTTCAACTAGCATTTATGAGGGGCAATGTGATTTAATTGTTAACAACTAAAGGAGTAGAAATCGTCAGTTACCATCTTTATTTATTCCTTTTTTTTTTTGTTTTTTGTTTTTTGCTGACAAACATTTAAAGTAGTCGACGATAGTATTTAAAGGTATGAAACCTGTATTTGTAATGATGAGGACACTCTCTTCGTCCAGGTGACATGCAAATATTTGCAGGCATTGGATTGCAGGCCCACGAATGGGTGAAACGGAAATCTTCATTGATAATCTACCTGGTTTACCGGATAATATACGCTTAGGTAGTAATGGAACATTTTGGATAGGTTTGGGAGCTGTGCGTCACAGTGATCAGTTCTCAATGTTGGATTTTCTCGCTGATAAACCATACATAAGGAAATGTATTCTTCAGGTAAAAGCTGTAGATTTGTTGATAAATAAAGGTGAAATTTCTACAAGTTTCAAACTGAAATAGTTGAAATTCAGGTAAATCTGTTCTTCTCAGTGATACCACAAAAAGTTTATTTATATTTTCTACATTTAGTAGATTAAGAATGGTCAATAACTAAAGTTTCATTTAGTTGGTACCGGAACGACAATGGGAATGGCTAATGTCAATATTCGGTACAAAGCATGCGTTGATTTTGCAACTTAATGAAAAAGGCCAAATAGTAGCAAGCGCTCACGATCCAATGGGCCAAATAATTAAAGAAGTGTCACAGGTGACAGAAGCCAATGAATACCTTTATTTAGGTAGTTACCGCTCTCCATTTATTGCTCGGCTCCGTAAGGATCACATCATTTACTGAAATATCTATGAATCTTTATGCAAACTTCAAGTCAGGCTACCAGTTTTTTCCGTCTTCCATGATAAAACGGAATTTTGTAAATAACAGATCGTCCTAGTAAATATATAGAATCTATTACACGGTAATAGCGTTATTTTAACTTAATGGTACTAAAATTTAATAAAAAATCTTCATCTTCCCGTTCTTCGTGATAAATCGGAATTCTGTAGATAAATGAGTTTTCATTTCGTTTAATTATTACAGACCTTACTATTTTCTTTCTTTTTTCTACATTGTTTATTTCTGCAGGATGAGATATTCTTCTGGTTGATTATATATAAAGGACTATACCAAAAAGTAAAGAATAAGTTTAAGTTAAACAGTAAAGTTCAGTGCAGTTCACGGATACAAATAGTTAAGGTTCAAAAGTATTTCAATATTTTTAGTTCTGAGTGCTGACATTTCTTTTTTACAAAAGAAAAGAAGAGCGAGAAATACTCAGGAAAACTTTATATTTCATGTTAGTATATTACCTTTTTTTTTCTCATTGCAATAAATAAAGAATGCCAAGTTTGAACAGCAAAATTAAATACAATTACGGATTTGATAAGGTTAATTCCAGAAAAAGTTTACAAATACAGATGAGCATAAAAAGGTAGGCCCTTAAAATTGATTAAACATACGTAAAAATTCCATTTTTTACAATTCAGAACTGATAACAACAATGAGCACCACGTGAGCCATTATAGAATAATCATTCATAGTCACCGCATCATAATTATTAGTTCAAAAAAGGAAGGAGCAACGATTAGCGCCCATTAGAAAGGTATGTTGAAAAAAAGATAATGCACTGCAGAGGAAGTCCGAACAGAGAAAAGTCTCTGAAAAATTTAAAGCACAGCCTAGAAACAAGTGTATTTCGAAAAATTACATCCCTAACTATTTCTTCTCAAATTACAACGAACCGAAGCAATCGAAGTCATCGATACAAATTATGCCTCGTTTCAGAGATCAAATATGGAAAATTTAACGCAAATGGTAGATGTAGGACAGATACCATAAACGACAATTACATATATACACCTAAATATAATATTTATTATACATAAATACCTAAATATAATATTTATTATACAATTAAAAAGAATGATATCTTTGAACAAAAAGTCATACTTTCATAGCAAGCACTGGTAAAAAATACCAACAAAAGATAATTGAGAAGAATAGCTCAGTAGAACACCGTTTTTGTCCGATTTCTTGATTTTGACTTTTTCGACTTTCGAGACTTTCTGCTGCTTGCCCAATCTTCATCATCGTCCGCTCCCGTATGATGTGAATCCTCCTGAAACCAAATCTTCCAAACTTATGTCTTTTAGCCTTCTTTTCTAAGCAGTCTTTCTAATTACTATTTGTAGATTAAAACCTTACTGCTAGGAAAATTTCGGAATAATTCTCCTTAGTATCTATTATTTGACGATTGATCATAATTCATCATCTGATCCATCAATTCGAATTATAGATCATTCATTGCGCCGCATCCTTTTGTACTGATGCAACTGATACAGTGCAGATAAATTCCAAGAAGCACTTTGTAAAAAACTAGTTAATTGCAACTATGATAAAAAGTCTTTTAGACAAGCTCAAAGTTTTCAGAAATATGTATCACTACTTAGCACTATTTCAAAATTTAACCGAACACAATCAGCTCAAGTAATTATATTTCTCCAATAAAGCTGCTACAGTGAAACAATGATAAGGTTGATAGATTGCTTGTGATAGCTTACATCAGAGTGATCCATATCGCTGTCTCGACCAGAATATTCACGTAAACGACCTTCTGAAAGCGAATTCTTCATGGAACTGGTGTAGTTCATTGCTTGATTTATGCGACGTTTTGCAACTCTGAAGAAACGAAATTATACAAGTTGCTTCAATTTTGACTTATTTCCAGAACTAATATAAAATATCCTATAACCATACGTTTTACTTGTATGCTTCATTGTTTGCCATACATTCGGAATATAGTTAAAAGCTGTTTAATAATAGTAAAATTAGCCACGGTATAAAGAAATATAAAGAAATATTTTTGAAGGAGATTTTCCAATGCTGAATCTCATATAAAAGGTGTTGCACAAATAGGATGGAAACGAAAAGCACCAACGTACAGAAAACAATTACACACGAAACTAATTCTCATCCTATTTAAAACATATCAATGCATTATCCCATTCCTTATAATTTCCAATCTTTCAAAAATTAATTGCAGTTTTTAAATAACTTATGGTTCAACACTAATTCTTTGATTCTTTAAAACATCCCATTTCAAATCAGTTGTGAAAAAGTTATATAAATATATTAGATTCGATATAGTGATACATCGACATACAATTTAAAATAGTACTACTGTTCGATACTACAGCAAACTATACTGTTTTACTACTTTATTAATTATAATGAGCACAGACCGCGAGCTACTTCGTCCCATTCCCATGCATTTCTCAAGATGCGGAGCGAAACGACACGCTGCGATAGGTCGTTTGCATTCATCGCATATAACGTCCATATTTTTTTGATGTTTCGTTTGTGAGATTAATGTACTGCCGAAAATATCATATTCGCCCACTATAGTAGGTTCATTTTGCATATCTAAAATAAAAAAGAACCATGCACATAGAAAGTTATATTAATTAAATGAAGAAGGCAAAATACTAATTATTTCCCATCATATGGCTATTTATTTCAGATGTATTATTACTTACACTAAAACTAAAAGTACAAATTCAAAAGAAAAAGAACACAAAATATTGCTTTTCTCGGAAATGTAGTTGAAAATTAAAGGCGAGTTTTTATCTTTCTTCAATTTAATGAGTTTTCTGTTTCTTTTTATTGGAAATAGTTAAAACCAACCAACTGGTGGTGGTAGCACAGCATTTGTAATTTTAGCAATTCGATGAACTTTGAAACAAGGCTCCAACAATACTGTTCCTAATAAATAATCGAATACCTGTTCGCTCATTTCTGCAAGATTAGCCATAAATATTTGTTGAAAAGAAGCATAACTTCCAAATATTCCAACAAATAAATTTAGAAAAACTGCTATGCTCATCCCTAATCATAAAATGATTACAACAAGGCTATGTAAATCATATTTTCCTCTTCTTTTCAGCAAAATCATTCAATTCAATCGTGTGACAACCGATCAATTGCATTCACTCCAAATTACCTATAATACCAACAATCAGGTTATTCCGCTTAATTCTCTCAAATAAAATTCCATCACTAATAATTTTCGTTTACTCCTAAAGAAAGAGAAAAAGCATTAACCATTGATATCAGCGACACTTTGTACGATTCCTTCGTCGCCTTTACCGTCAACCATCGATGTTATTTGTTCAAATCCATATTTAGCAATAAATGAATCATTGATCTGTGCCTGAAATCAAATGAAATCAAGAAAAATGTATATGTGAACAATTCTAATTGACAACAGCCGAGCCAATTTTTCGACCTCGACTCTCGTATATATACAAATAACATCACACATACACAAACATACATACATGCACACATACACATACATGCATGTGTGTAACACAACCACCGACGAACGCCTCCCCTCCTTTTACAACACAACAACACGTGAAATACTTCATCCCACTTCTGACAACCAAACATCGTTAGGCCACAATGATGGTGATTTTATTAATATGAATTTTGTTTGATGCATTCACTTCAGTATTTCTTGCTATATTCCAAAATAATCAGTGGGATACGCACCAATCGATAGTGCCATTCTTCAGCGTTACTCTGCCTCACCCTTGGTGACAACGTTTGATGTGGAAGTTATGGAATGAAAGATGACTATTTGATGTGTCGCATTGTGCGCCAAATTGTGACTTCAAAAGAATGCGCTAAATAATACAATCGAATTACAAATCGCTGGGCAAAATACTGGTATAATTGGTATAAATAAGTCGAGTAGAAACGCAGAAACCAGCTATTAGATTGAGCGATATCGGAACTTTTCCGGATTGTAAGTAATCCGAATGTGTCTTTTTTTCGGTATTATAATGTCCTTTGAATGTCAAGTTTAATTTGTAGCAAAATTTCATTTAAATTTTAGCAAAATTTAATTCTGATCAGTAATCGGATCTGCGAACAAATGAATAAGGAAATACATGCTGCACTTATTACTAAATGTATTTCTGTTATGAGAAGCTATCAATGTTTATAAATTATGATACATGTAGGAATAGGTAATATATAAAAAAGTGTGAAAGACAGTATAAGTCGAATTTCTATGAATGTGATTAATCGTTGAGTTAATTCTTATCCTTTCTGAGCTAGAACGGATAGTAGTAATTCATATATTTGATCCTAAAAAAAAAAAAAATTATATCTCCCATAATTGACCAAAGATTTTGAACAAACAATAATTCCATGAGATATGCAACAATCTTGAAAGATCAGATCAGAAGTGTATACTTCTGTTATGTTGAGTTTAAACTTTATCCCACAATTATAGCTACTTTTTCCACAGAAAACTTTAATTCAACTTAATTTGTGATTCAAATATTCCAAAATAAAGGTGATGTTATAGGTGAATGGAACTGGATCGCTATCAAAATGAGCCAATGTTATGGATGGATCAGAACTGGTACCCAAATAATCCATTGCCATGGAATTAGCAACTACCATACAACTTACCTAATTGATCATTATCTCACATTACTCAATAACTTCATTTTACCGCACTGTTTACTAATAAATTCATTGTTATAGTATTAATTATCAGTCACAAATGACTCATTAAATGTGCATCGTACAGTGATAAAATTGAAATTTTTATTCCAAATAATCGTTAATACTATCATCTTTCATAAATAAAGTGTCATCAAAACTTTTGGGTAGCATTTATACTACTAATTTGACATTTGACTCAAATTGTAGGAACCGTAAATCCGTAATAATAACCTTTTGCAACTCTCTCCCTCTCCCTCTCCCTCTCCCTCTCTCTCTCTCTCACATTTCATTTATGATTTTTGATCATTCTGTGCAAATATATGTTAAGAATTATTATGAGTAAAAAACTAAATGAGTCTACCTGTCATTTTCACGTGCATTAATATTGGGATGTTGCAGCGTTGTTATTTGCATGATAACTTGAAGGTGTCAAAATAAGCAGTAAGAAAGAAAGAATAAATTGTGGCAGAAGAGACAAGGACAGGTAAAATTGATAAAATAAGTTAAATTGTTTTCATTTCTTTCTTTAACAATTATTTCTCAGGTAAATGACACCTTTCTTGTTTGTTTCATTTTGTTTAATTTTGTATGAGTTTGCGAAATTTTTTGTTATCCTTTTTTTTTTTAATTTCCAAATGTCACTTTGTTGATATTATATGCGATTTTGCAGTTCTTATTCATTTCATTTATTTTGGCATTGAGATTTTTTTTAAATGAATATACTGATGTTTTCGTCTTTCGTTTTTTTTTTTACTTTTTTTAAAGAAATTTTATGTACTTTTTGAAAATCGTACTTTGCAATAAAAATGAAACACATTCATCCATTTCTTTGATTTTTCTGCAGAAATTTCTTTTTTTTTTCCCTTTTTTTATAAAAATTTAAATAGTTTGAATAAATCTTTAACCTTCGGCAACTCAAATGTAGGAAAAAAGTTTCTTTCAAAAATTCGTTTAAGATTTTATTTTCTCGAAAAGCTAATTGGTTGACCTTTGAGAAAAGGAAAAAAGTTATTCTTTCTTTTTTCTTTTTTTCCTTTGCTCACATTCATATAATTTATTGCAAAAATAAAGCGAAATTCACTATCATTTTGATTTGTTTATATTTTCGCCTTTTGATATAAAAACACACCAATGAGCATTTTTATAAATTTACCCATTTTTTTTTTTTTTGCAATTTCTTGAGTAATTCATTAAAATTAGTGATAGTGGCGTATGATTCAGTATTGTCGCTGAGTTTGTAGTTCACTGTACTTTTGTTATGCATACCGTTGTGATACCTTACCCATTATTTATTCCCATGGGCAAATGCTAACAAACAAGCATTACCATTCTATCCGGAAAAACGCTTTTCTTGAATGTAAATTATTTAAGTGTCATATTTGGAATTTTTCTACTATCTGAACAGTCTTCCATCTTTGTCTCTCTTTTTTCATTCCCAAATTAATTTATTGGTATTATCAGTTAGAGTGACCAAGAAATCAATAATTTTGCTTTCTTTGATCAGAAATATCGAATACGACCAGAAAAAAAAAACTTTTAATTTACGATTTTTTTTTTTTTTTTCAATGTTTTATTGTTAATTAATATATAGAAAAATGATTATATTTCTTATCAAATTTACGCAGAAAAATCACAAATCTGTGTATTTGGTAAAAATGTCAAAAAGTCAAAAAAGCATTTTTGAACCGAAAAAATAAATAAGCATTGTTGCAGAAGTTGAAATTATATTAAATGAAAATAAAAATTAGACATCATAAAAATTTTGAGAAAGCTAAAAAACATTTAAATTTGTTGAGAAAGGTAGAAAGGTAGCGAAGTAAGTAAATCATATTACTGTGAGTTTTGAGCTTTCTTCAGCTAACCTTTCTATATACTTTTCATTTTTTCCTGCTTCTCTTCAGTTTTTCACTTTTTTACTTTTATGTTTTTCGATTAGAACTGGAATTTGTTCAATTGGTGTCCAATCAATTTAACAAACTAACCTTGTCACCTCACTTCCCTTGTCAAATGAAAAAATACTACGGGAAGCTGTAATGATAGTTTCGTAACGGTGTCACTATCTTGAAAAGTTTTACTAAAATTTTAAACATTTACTAATTTTGCAAACTTTAATAGATTTTAATTTTAAAAAACATTTCTTAATTTCTTATCCATGTTTCATTTAGAGTTTCCTTTAATTTGCCCGAAATATATTTTAATTGGTAGACCTTCGCTACCTTTTTTTCCATTTGTTTTTTCGTTGTTCGCGTTCACATAATTTTTTAATGCGAATTTTTTCTTCGTTTTTTGGAAACTTTTTTTTTTACTGTAATTAGCAATTTCGTTTCATATTGAAATTTTGAATTAATAACTTTTGAAAATGCGAAAAAAAAAGAAATTTGTAGAGATGGAAGTAAACACTTTTTCGAGAATAATAAAAAAATATGGTTGTTATTACTTTTTTTTAGTGATTCCAGGAATGGAAATGTTTATTCTTTCCTATTTTCGGTAGCAAAGAGAGAATGAAAGCGGGAAGAAGAAAGGGAGAGAGAGAGAGAGAGGGAGAGAAGAGTGGAAGAGAGGAGAGAGAAAGGTTACTTGAAAATCTGAATACAACAAGGGAATCTCTCACACAATACAATTTATAAAGACTATTTATTTTAGCACATAAATGTTCTTTTGCTCAATCTTTGTATTTCTCAACAAATTTGCTTTTATAAATTGAGCTTTTATGTTATCACAAAAACTCATTCAACCACTTTTTTCCTTTTTGTCAAATATTATCACAAGATTCAGTGAGAAAAAAAGAAAAATAACAAATTCTATAATTTTGTGTTTGGTTACTTTTGCTAAATTAAAATTTGGATTCAGCGCTTAATTTAGTTTGATTCTTAGATATTATAAATAGGAAATTAGTTAATAATCTCAAACAACGATAGGTAAATGCAATGGACGGAAAAGTAATATGGAAGGATATATTATCGTCTTGAAATTAAATAAGAAATTAAGAATTAATTGATCGATCGCTGAACGGCAAGGAAAACTGTAAAATTTGCAAGCATTTAGTACAAAGATAAAGCAAAACGGATCGCAAATTCATTTAGTGTTATAAAAAAAAAAAAAAAAAAAAAAAAAAAAAAAAAAAAACGAACAAATAATCTTCAATAAAAATCAAAAAAAATGAAAATTTGAAATTCTCTCTTTAGAAATTAATGGGAAATTAGAAAATTGAGGACAAATACACAGATTGCCCTCTTCCCATTACTGTTTAATTTCTCATTTAAGAGAGAGAGAGAGAGAGAAAAGAAGCTATGATTAATGATGGAAGTTTTCAACAACGAACTGAAAGCGATCGGTAAATCGAAATGCGGTAAAATTGTGGGGAATCTCAGTGAGAGCTCTCATACCGTGTAATTTACAGGGATGACTGTTCAGTACAACTTGGATGTGTCAACTTCTCGGCCTTGGACCTTATTCAAACTTTTATTCCGGTGGCGCGGAAGTATTTGGAAATCAGTAACTCTCGAATTATTTGTTTGGTTGTTGTTATTTGCCGTAATATCAGTGATATACCGCGTTGCTTTAAACAATGAACAAGTTAGGTACATTACATACAATTCTGCAAATAGAAATAATCGCAAAAGAATTTCAAATTTTAATTTCAGTTATTTAAAATAGTATTTTGAGGAAAATGCACACAAAAATCTAAAATTCCTTTTTGACTGTTATATTTACTTATAAGTTTCTACTAACTTAAATTACAGTGTTATGTTGACACATTATGAAATGATAAAGGTATTTTATCTTTCCAAGAAAATTCAATTTAAGCAAATTAATAAAATACAAAAAGAAAATGTCAGCTGTTAAATTGGTGATAATAGTGATAAAGGTATTTTATAGGACCCTTACATAAGCCGAAAAAAAAAAAGAAGATATATATAGCATAATTTCAAGTTTGTAAATTAAAATCATTTTCGGTTGAAATTATTTTGAAAACTATTTCAAAACTATTAATAACTTAAATGTTACTGAAATTAGATGCAATAACTGCTAAATATTATAATTTATGCCATCAATGATCAAAAAAAAAAGAAAGAAAATTTGGTCTATGTAAAACTTTTAAATAATATTCTGAAAATTTGAACAAAAACTCAATTTTGCATAAGTTAGTATATTTGATTTCAGAAATTCATTTATTACTTAAGTTTATATTAATGCTAACTTATCATTTTAGTACATTCGAGCAGTTCGTACATTACTGCGATGAGAAATTGGATTACATTCCATTGAATTTTATGCTTGGATTTTTTGTTACAATCGTTGTTTCAAGATGGATTAATTTTTTCGTGAATATTGGCTATATTGACAAGTTCGTTTCAGGAATTTATTTCTTTTAGCTAACTTTTTTTTTTTTTTCTTTTTTTTAATTCAGAAATTTCTTTATTTTGTAAAATATGTTTCAGTTTAGTAATTGAATTATTCATTTCGTTTTTGAGTTGTAAAATGATGCAAAAACTTTATTATTCGCTAATTTAATTCATAAAGTGAAAAGATATTTAAAATTATTATTAAAATGTAAAATATTGTATTTTATTAATGAATTTTTTTTCTTTTTTGTAATGGATCTTTGATTAGTATTGGTACTAACTAAAATTGCAATAATTAATAGAAATCATTAAAAGTATTTCGAGAAATTTGTACCAATCATTGGGCTTACCGAGCATTACACTTAGTAAAGTTTTGGAAAAACAAAGTTATTTATTTCGTTAAAAGCCATTTTTCTTGTAAAACGCTATGAATTCCGTATACTATACTGAACGGAATTCCGGAAAATGGAAGTGTCATCGTGCAAAAAAGTGACTCTAAGATTGAAAAATACAGTAAACTTATTAAGTATGCTAATTTATAGTATAGCTTTAATGGTAGCAGCATATGTAAAAGGTTCGGATGATTGGGCACGAATGCTGCGCCGAAATATCATTCGGTATTGTGTCTTATCACAAGCACTTGTCTTCCGCGATATCAGTATGCGAGTCCGGAAACGATTTCCGACCATCGAAGCATTGGTTGCCGCCGGTACAATTTCTAATTCAATTCAGTTCAGTGATCAAAATTTAACACAGTCATAAAATATGTGTTAAGTGTTCACAATTGTATAATTAAAATTAAGCAAAAATACTTTAATTAATTGGTAAAATTAAATTTAACGAAATTTTAATACATTGAGTATTTATAATAGGTTTCATGATGAAACACGAGAAGGAAAAGTACGATGCGATCCAATATCGCTATGCTAAATATTGGATGCCATTCCAGTGGGCATTGTCACTTTGTCAAGAAGCACGAAATCAACAAAAAATTTCCAGTGATATTTTGCTTGAAAAAGTTGGTGAAGTAAGTGGTTCCTTTGAACTGAATCACTTTTAATCAATCAATCAATTTTATTTTTAAATTATTCAAGAATTAATCATCAAAACGTCAATTTATACAATTAATATGTAATTTTTAAGCCAAACACAGTTAGAAATTTTTATTTTCTCAAAGAAATTTCTGCTTATCTAATTATCTCAGCATATATGCATAATCATAGCTTTCCTGAAATTATCATTGTCATTTAAATTGAATTAAATATTAAATTTGGATGATAGAAACATTCTTCTTTCCTTTATTTTAATTAAATTTGTATAAATTTTGTCATTTGTACTATGAAATATCACTTCGACTTGAATTTTAACAAAGGACATTTAGAGACTCTCAGTGTCTCATATACAAACACTTCTCTTTTGGCCTGAAAATTTTTTAAATAAATTAAAATGAAGAGACATTCACAAATCTTAAATAATTCTTCGCCTCTGTCAATCATAAATTAGCAAAACTTCAACCACTTTTATTAATTTGAATTTCAGGAAATTAAAAAGTTTCGTACGAATTTGGCCATTTTGTGTAACTTTGATTGGGTACCTTTACCAATTATGTACCCACAACTAATTGTCTTAGCTGTTCACACATATTTTCTTGTTGGTGCTATTGCCAGGCAATATATTATTAGTGAAAATGCAAAGAATAAATCAACGGTTAATATTCTTTATTTATATTTTGTTTTAAGATTTTTTTTATTGATTCTCTAAAACGTTAATTTCTTAAATTTTAATCTTACCAATCGAAATTTTGAAAAATTTTTATTCTGAGAGATAATTTTATTTTAAGAGATTTATCAGGAAGGAAAGGCAGAGCCTTCTTATAACTATTTTTATTTTTGGCATCATAACTGCCTGATTGTCTAATTACAGTAAATTTACCGGTAAAGGCCTGCCAAATCCAAGCAACAACTTTTCGAGACAGACCTATAAGTGACAGTCATGAAATCCTTTCACAAAATCCTGCAACCAATTCTGAGTTTACATCATTTTAGCGGCAAAGAATCAAAAATTGCACTTTGTTTATTTGTTTACCTTTTACTGAACTGTTAAAATATTCCGTTTGCAGTTGGATATATACCTTCCGGTTATGACTATTATTCAGTTTGTCTTCTACATGGGATGGCTAAAGGTAGCAGAAGCAATGCTAAATCCGTTTGGTGAAGACGACGACGATTTCGAATGCAATTTTCTGCTCGACAAAAATCTTAGCGTAATTTATTCAATCATTTCCTTAATGAAAATCTGATTGAAAGTGGACACATGGAAATGTATAAAATTGAACGAACTAATAAATATGCAAATTAAATAATTAAAATGAGAATTTAAATAATCAAAAACGATGCTATGACATGCATCAACGCTTGTTTTTACTTTTTCATTTTAGGTAGGTTTAACAATCGTCGATGACGGATGCAACAAAATACCGGCATTACTTAAAGATGTTTTCTGGAGCGAAACCGAAATTGAACCTTTGTATTCAGCGGAATCGGCTCGTGGAGAATATCGACTTTCCGGTTTGACTGGTTCAACCGCAAATGTTCAGTATGAATTTTGTTTTTTGTTGAATTTATTTACGATGATTCCTTCTAAACAAATTTAAAATTTCAAAAGAAGTAAAAAAAGTTTTCATTTTCATTGATTTCTTTCTTCTGTTCTATGATCATTGCAATTCTCTCTAGGTTAACTGATCAAAATAGGAAAATTAAAATGTTACCTTTATCACGAGAATTAGACAATCATCATTCAATTTCGGAACTTTTACGAAGTTCAATGCGGCATAGTCTGCGTGCTGGAAGGTAAGTAAAAAGTAATACTTACTTATGATGAAAAGTGATGTGACGTGGTTAATTGACGTGATTAATATGATGATAAAAAGTGATAAATGTATTGATTAAATGCGGCATAAAACAGTGAGATTTCTGTTAAGTAATTATTATAAAGTTGCAAAATAGTTAAATTTTGTGAAAAAAAATTTCGTTCAATTGATTAATTCTTTGATTAATTTGTTTCAATGCAATTTAATCATTTTATCTTAAAAAAAAGAAAAAAAAAATCCACTTTCAAAGCTTTCTGAAAGTGCTAGCTGTAACATTAAATGATATCAGTGCGAAATAAGTGATATCACAGTAACTCTAATGATAAAGTATAGAGTGATTTAATTTCAAAATATTTAAATTTTAGAGCTGATCATCATGGCGGTATTATGAACATTGTTCGTCAAAAATTTGGTAGGTAAGGTAATTATTACATATAGAAATTTATTTCTTTAATTTAAATCAATCTTTGTATTTTTTGTACGCAAAATTTTATCTTTCATTCAATTATTTCTCTATGTTTACAATAATCAATGAATGAACGAGAAATGTTATCAGTTTAATGTTATCAGTGTTTTGCACTGATATTAGCAATTATTGCAGAATTATGTCAAAGGTCATATTCTTAGGTCATTAAGTCATTCACATTTCAATACGAGCCAAAATGCCGATGATAACAGCAACAAAACGAATCAAACTGTGGACGAATTGTCAGTCGTGGAAAAAGGTTACTCAAAATGGATAAGTAACAGTGAAAGCCGTCGAAGCAGTTTAAATCGTGTTCTGGAGACTATTATCAAAGAATCATATGATAATCCAAATGTTAACTTATCAGGTAAGCAAAGCAAGATGAGGAAGGTTATTGCAAAGGTTATTTAAATATTCAGTATTAACTTTTAAATTTTAATATCATCATTAATATCAGCAAAAAGTGTGTGAAAATTATTTCTAAATGGAAAATTTTCATATTTTAATCAAATTTCGACCTTCTAAATTTATAATTTTAAATTTATAGATGAAGATTTGCCCCTTACATTAAAGCAAACATCGATGAGTGATGGACGACATACTGGCCATGCTGCACTGTCACAAACGTCAACGCTGTACAGACTGGAAGATTTGGAAGAGGAAACAGAAGATGCTATAAGTAGGAAAAATACCAAAGCAGATAATACTGCTCCTGTCACTGGCTACACTTACGTGAATTACGTAAGGTCACCGAATAGTGACGTACGGATTAGTGCTGTCGATGGATCATCACTGATTGTAACTCGACAACGAAGTGTTCCATCGAATGATGCAAATTGCGCTTTTGTTCAAACAGCAATTCGTAGGCAGAATTCATGTCCAGAAGTTAATTTAGAGAATAAATCTTGGATATGACATTTCAACAAATCATTTAATATAAAATTTGAAGTTTGATTTTTTTTTTTTTTGAAATGTAATTGCAAATTCTATATGCAAAGTAAATATTTTATTTTTAGGCATAACTTCAAGTAATTAATTTATTGAATTTGACAAATTTTTATGAAAACTCAGCCAAATGACTTATTATTACATTGCAAATTGTGTATTGTTGTTTTGTCAATTGTTGCATTATTTATTATTACATTACTGAATTACAATAAATCGAATTTTTGTAGAATCTTACGAATAATTATTACATAAACAGAAAAATGAAATAATGATTACATGAAAAGATCAAAGATTAGTTTTACTGTTTATGATTTCAAGTTTCTTTAAAGAAAAGTTTTTTTATTCTCTAATTACTTGATAAAACAACAATTACTGATTGGTAAAAAATGCATTTAGTTGTAAAAGATCAAAAAAAATGAAAATTTGGATCAGTAGTAATGGATTTATTAATTTCATTTACTAATTTTTTTTTCTTACAAAGAAACTTGAAATTTCATTGTTAAAATTGTTTTAAAGTAAATTACTTTAAAAAGAAAAATGAATTTTTTTAATAGAAAATTTGACATTTAAAAATTGTTATAAACACTTTAATTACGATAAACAATAATTTAAAAACTGCTGGTTTTTTGGTTTATTTTTTCTTATTTTGAATAAAAACAATAAATGGTTCATTTCATTTGCTTAGGTTTTTTAATTTCTAATTTTCAACCTTTAACCTTTTGCAAGTTCTTTTCCATCCTATACTATTACACCAATTGAATTCACTCATTCTAGTAAATATTATTCTCACATTCGTTTTGTTACTGTCACCTTCCTGTGTAATTAAAATGTTTACCTTGTCATTGTCACCAATTGTCATGTCAACGCCACTCTTAAATCACCAGTTTTTCGACTGCACTTGCTTAATTTAACCTTTTAACTCTTTTTACATATATTTGTATTTGTGTATATGTTTTTGTCTGTGTCTGTGTATTTACAAATATATGTATATTTGTTTATTTACATTTGTATTTACAATTATATATTTGTTTATGAATGTTAAAGTATTATTGACATTTATAATTCTTTTCTTTATTGTAGTTAACAAAAAAAAGTTTTTTTTTTTCTTCTGCTCAATAACAAATATTATTTTCAAAGAATTCATTTTTCCTTTGTTCGTTTAATTCAACGATTAATTCCAAAGATCAAAAATTTCATCCATATTATTAGTATTACTATTATTATTATTACATTTTACAAATAACATTTTTTTTTTGTTATTTCAAATTAGAATTATTTGAAATTATTCCAATTAAATTACATTGTTTAGATCATTTCATTCCGAAAATCTCTAATATGTGAAATTTGAATGTTCGAAATTTATTTTCCAGATTATTTAATTTTATTTCAAAGATGACCGTAAAATATAACTTGGCTGTATCAACATCACGACCATGGACCCTGTTCAAATTATTATTTCGATGGCGTGGAAGTGTTTGGAAGTCGGTGACCTTTGAACTTGTCATTTGGTTATTGCTTTATTTTACTATCGGTATTATTTATCGTAAAATGTTGTCACCTCAACAAATTAGGTATGATTCAATTATACTATTTCTTTTTTGAGAAAAAATTTGTATTCTGAAAATAAAAAAATAAAAATTCTTTTATTGAAATTCAATTGGTACAATAAACTAATAAAACCAAATTCTATTTAAATCTTTACACAATTCAATTTTGCTTTCTTGTTTATTTCAAACAACAAATTTTATTGCAATTAATACTGAATTTGATTGTATCAAATTTGAACGAAATTTGCATAAATATTGGAAAAATTGAAAGAATAATTAACATTTTGTTGATTGGTAATAAATTAAGACACAGAAATATTTTTGACTTTACTAAATACTATTATTTATCAAAAATTTTCTAATTATTTTGTTAATTTTAATAAATTTTGAGAGGTATAATTTATTTACTTGTTTTTTTTTTTCTAATCTTAATAATATTTTTATAGAGATTTCGAACGGATTGCTCATATATTGGATGAAAAATTGAATCTAATACCACTTGATTTCATGCTTGGCTTTTTTGTCACATCTGTCATCAATCGATGGCTTAAATTCTTTAATAATATTGGTTACATTGACAAGTTTGTGCTATTTCTTCCTTCTTTATTAGTTTCTAATTTTTTTTTTTTGATTACTATTTTGACATATTAAATTTATTTATTTGTCAAAAAAATAAAACAAAAAACGATAAAATTATCCAGTGAATCATAAAAAGTTTAATTTTTATTATAAGTTTATTATAAATATTTTTATAAAATTACTAGCATTGTTTATTTGTTTATTAATTGTAGTATTGCATTAATGACAGCAGCGTATGTACGTGGCGATGATGAAAGATCACGTAAAATGCGTCGTAACATTGTTCGTTATTGCGTCTTATCGCAAGCACTTGTTTTCCGTGACATTAGCATGAAAGTAAGAAAACGATTTCCAACATTAGATTCTGTTGTTGCATCAGGTTTGTTTAGAAAAGTTAAAAAAATTTTTTTTTTTTTTTTCATAAATTATATTATTATTAATAAATTAACAAATATTTATTCATTTCTTCTATCAAAAATAGAAAAAAGTTAATAATTAAACGATTTTTTTAAATGACAATTTTTAATGATTTTTATTCATTCGTATAATCAAATTTTTATTTGTATAATTAAATATTTTGAGGTGTTTGAGAATTATCATTCATGTAAACTGCTTTCTTTGTCTTAATAAACTTCTCTACTCAATATTCTACCCATAACTATGGGTAACAGTAAATGAGGGTATCAATTATTAAAGTAACTTTATTAAAACAGCTGTTTAAAGTATTATTAAAGTGAAAATTATTGTTTATTAAAAACAGCACTAATAAAAGTCACTAATAATTGCATATAATTCGACTTATTTATTCTATATTTCAATCATATGCTTCATCACTTAAAATACTCAATTAATTATGATAATCTTATCTGACAATTTCATATTAACTAAGTAATAATGATAGTTTAATATAAATTTAGTCTGATAATGATAATTTAATATAATTTGATCTAATAGTAATGATAAATTTAATATAGGCTAAACAACGATAATTTAATATAATTTAAATGATTTTTCATTAAGAATTTAAATAATATTTCCATATCACTATGGAAATATTATTTAAATAGCATTAGTAATAATAATAACTTAATGCAATTAAATTTAGACAAAACAAAGTGGCCAATTTTAATTATTATATTATTTACTATTTTATGCTAAAAGGAATTATCAAAATTTCATTTGCAAAATTGTAAACAAATATTATTAAGGATTTATGATGTCACATGAAAAAGCTAAATTAGATGAAATTCATTATCGTTATGATAAGCATTGGATACCATTTCAATGGGCTTTGGCAATTTGTGACGATGCGCGACAACAACAAAAAATTGCAAGCGATTGGTTACAGCAGAAAGTTTGTGAAGTAAGTTAATTACTATTATAAATTAATTATTTCTTGTATTTTTTTTTTTTAAAGAAGAGAAGAAAAATTAGAAAAATTAGAATGAAACTTTAACTTTTACACTTTATTTTATATTAAATTTAATTTCGAGACGATATAAACAAATAAATAAGTAAGCATAAACAAATAAATGCATTTATGAGGAAAATTTTAGGGTGAAAAATACAAAAGTTTTAATTTTAAAAAATTTATAATAATTTGGAAAAAGGAAAAAAAAACATGACTATAATACATGAATATCGAATGAATGGAATGAATGGAATTACTTTATCAAATTATAAATCGACTAATTAATTAATTAATAATAAATACGAATATAATTAAGGGAGAAAAAAAATACATATGTAAACTGAGACTGAATTAAAATAATAATAACAAAAAAACGAGTTTCTTTAACTAATTGCTGAAGGAATAGAATTATTAATCATTTAAAACAATAATTAAATCAATAATTAATAATAAAATAAAAAAATATATTATTTTCTTTTTTGCAGGAAATTAAACGATTTCGTACAAATATGGCAAATTTATACAATTTCGATTGGGTACCATTACCAATTATGTATGCTCAAATTGTTGTCCTTGGCGTTCATTTGTATTTTTTTGTGTGCGCCATATCACGACAACATATTCTTTCAGATGAAGCACCAAATAAGTCTAAAGTAAATAATTAATTATAAATTTTATTTTTAGTCAAAAAAGAAAAAAGAAACTCGACGCTTACAAATTTTTATTTCTGTTTTTTTTTTTTTTTTTTTTTTGATATTGCAAAAAATTAAGTAATATTTTGTTTTTCTTGAAAAAATTAAAATAAATGAAACTATTGATTTAGTTTTATTTACTTAATTTTAGCATTATATCGCTCATTTTAAGTAAAAGTTATAACATGCAATAGCTTACTTAATTTCTTAATTATTGATTATTAAAATTCAAATTTTAATAATCAATAATTTAAAATTTGAATAAATTTAATGCTTTCAGTTCTGTTTTAAAAAATTGTTTTTATTTTTTTAATTGGATTAGAAAGAAATTATTAAATCTCTTTCATTATTGAATCCCTTAGTCACAAATCAAAAAAAAAAAAAAGGAAAAAAGGAAAAAAACAAATAAATGAAAAACTGAAAGCTATAAATTATAAAGCTAAATTTAACAAAGTCCTTAAGGAAATTTTTAAAAATAATTTGCTAAAAATTTAGCAAATATTTGAAATTTTCCACATTTTATATTACTTTATTCAATCAAAAAAAAAAGAAAAAAAATTCTTTTTCACTTCTTATTTTCAATTTTATTTTCAGGTCGATGCGTTTTTTCCATTTATGTCCGTTTTACAATTTATTTTTTATATGGGTTGGTTAAAAGTAGCCGAAGTACTACTGAATCCATTTGGTGAAGATGACGATGATTTTGAATGTAATTTTCTACTCGATAAAAATCTTGCTGTATGTTTTTTGAAAATTAAATTTTTGTTGAAAAAAAATTTTAATTTCTTAATAATTTATCGAACGTTTTAATTAATTTTTTATCATCAAAAATATTAATTTAAAAAAAATTATTAAAGTAAATTATTTGAATTAAAAAATAAATTAAAAAATTTTTTTTTCTTTTTATTAAAAATTTTGGCATATAAAAATTTGTGTTTTAATTTGATTACTTCAACAACCATGAAGTTTAAAAATAAAAAAATTTTATCATTTTTTTAAATGAAATAAAAATATAGGCAAAATAATTTTTTAGTCATTCTGTTATCATACAATTACTGTAAATGTCATGAAAAATGAATTTCAACAATTTTTAATTTTTTTAAAACTATAAAAATTCGAAAAACATATAAAAAGGCGGAAGAGACAGAGAGAAAGAAAAAAATTTTTCTTTTTGTTTGTTTCTTTTTTTTTCTTAATTTTTTAGTAGCATATTATAATTAACTAAATTTCTTATATAAATATAATAAGTGTACCATAAATTGTGACTAAAAAAAATAGAAAAAAGAAAATGCCAAATATTTAATTATATTCCAAATTATTTTTAATCAAATCTTTTAAGCTAAAAAATAAAATCACCGCAGAAAAAAGGTAATTTTTAGGTTAGGTCTAATGTCGTGAAACCTCAAACTTGGGTAATTAAACCTTTATTTAACATGAAGCAAATAATAGCGCTTTATACATATCATACGGATGCTACACCGATTAACAAACGCGTAACGAAAGATATAATTATAAAACATTAAAATGATATCAAAACCACCCCAAAATGCAGAATGAACCACCGTATGGAGGACGATGGTTTATATGCATAACTGAGCTGACCAGATATCCGGCAGAGGATATTTAACTGATGTGAAACAAAGACTGCTAATAAAGGGTTTTGCTAACAAAGGGTTTGCTAACAAAGGGTTTTTGTTGTGTGAGGAAAAGGAATCAGATAAGAGGAATTTGTTAGTTTTGGATATAATTAAATATTTCGTCTTTCACGACATCTAATGATTGTTGATTTGGGCTTCGACCCCTTCGGGTAGGCTTAATAATTGTTAATTTTGGCAACAATCCTTTCAGGGGCTTAATGATTGTTAATTTGGGCTACGATCCCTCCGGGTAGGCTTAATAATTGTTAATTTTGGCAACAATCCTTTCAGGGGCTTAATGATTGTTAATTTGGGCTACGATCCCTCCGGGTAGGCTTAATAATTGTTAATTTTGGCAACAATCCTTTCAGGTAGGCTTAATGATTGTTGATTTGGGATACGATCCCTTCGGGTAGGCTTAATAATTGTTAATTTTGGCAACAATCCTTTCAGGTAGGCTTAATGATCGTTGATTTGGGATACGATCCCTTCGGGTAGACTTAATGATTGTTGATTTGGGCAACCAATCATTTCAGGTAGGCTTAATGATCGTTGATTTGGGATACGATCCCTTCGGGTAGACTTAATGATTGTTGATTTGGGCAACCAATCATTTCAGGTAGGCTTAATGATCGTTGATTTGGGTTACAATCAACCGCCAGCAATTGAGAAAGATGCATTTTGGAATGGACCTATTGAACCACTTTATACACAACAATCGATGGTACTTGAACGACGAATGAGTAGTATTACCGGTTCACTTGCCCATATTAGGTTGCATTATTAACTTTTTATTCAAAAAAAAAATCTTAATTAGATTTTTTTTATTTTTATACATAATATTTTTTATATGCTTAAAAAAAATGTGTTATAAATTTTTATCCAAAAAAAACAAGAAAAAGGATTTTTTGAGTTTTAAAATATCAAATGGATTTATAATTTCGAATGAATAAATTTTTAACTTTAAAATTTCAACTGTTTGCGTTGAAAAAATAAATTGAGAAATTAATAATACTTATTTTATTATGAACAATTATTAGTCTACGATTAATAACTATTTCAATCCTACGAGTATTGCTTAATTAAAAATAGCAATGAATATATCATATATAAAATTAATCGTATGCTTCATTAGTGCTAATAATATTACAGTCATAAAAAAAAAAAAAAACTAATAAATTATAAAATTGCTCTAAATTTGCTATAATTTGATCTTTCTAAAAAAAAATTTAAAGTTTTAATTTTTTGAAATTTACAAATATATGCATTATTTTTAATAACGATAAAATGCATTTACGCTAAATGAAATTTTACAATGAGTTAAAATTATTTCATTGAATTCTTATTATCATTTCACTAATTAATTTAATTAATTTCAGATTATCAGGTGATAAAAAAATTCAAATGATGCCATTACCGCATAGCACAGATTCTATGCGAAATCCATTAGATTATTTGTTAAAAGCAACTTCATGGACTAGGTAAATCTTACATTTTAATTTATTATTTCATTACTTTCAACAAAATTACTCTTTTAATAAGCGTAATAAGTAAGTAATTTTCATTTCAATAATTATTGGAATAGTCAAGAATTTAAAAAATAAAAAATAAGTGAAATTAAAAATGACATTTCGTTACATTTCAATAGTATTACTTAAATTATTGAAATAGTTAAGAATAAGAAAATAGAATGAAAAATGAAAAAAAAAGACAGAAAAATAATTTCACAATTTTTTTTTAATTTTTGTTTTACTTTTTTTTTCTTATGCAAATTTTTAGATCAGTAAGTGAAGTTGAAGATGTTAATGATAAAGAATTATTAAAAAATGATCAATGTGGAAACGATTTACAAATTGTTGATACTGCCAATCATACACGGCGACGATTTAGTTTAGGTAAAGTGAATATTTATGATTAAAAAATGAATATTTATGATTAAATATTTATAATTTATAACAATTAAGTAATTAGCAAGTATTACTTAATAAAATTAATACCAAAACTTGTACTGGTAAATATTTACAATTTATAATAATTAAATAATTATCAAGTATTACTTAATAAAAGTTATATCAAAATATGTAGTGATAAATATTTATAATTTATAAAAATTAAATAATTATCAGCTATTGCTTAGCAAAAGCTATTAATTTGTTATTTGTTTATCAATTTTACTCATTTTTTTTCTTGCAAATTATAAAGTAAATTTTTAATCAATTTTTTGGATATTATAAATAAAATAAGTACTTTTCCTTTTTTTTTTCATTTTAAATTTAATTTTTGTTTTGTTTTCTTACAGGTGATTATTTTCATTTACCATTTCGTTCAACATTATCAGCACGTACTTCACATGATTCAATTAATTTTATCACTGAGCCACATCATTTGGAAGATTTAACAGAAGAAAACGAGGATACCATTCATTCACGAAAAGTGCAATTGCAATTAAATCATCCTAGTATTATACCATTTCCAATGTCATTTCCAAATGAAAATGATCCAAAAAGTAAATTTTAAATAATAAAAATGAGTAATTAAAATTTATAACTGAAATAAAACTAAAAATTTCAAACTGAAATACAACTAAAAGCACATTTATTTCATATTAATATTCAAATTAATAATTTATGCTAATCAATCAATACAAATTGATAAATAAATAAAATATTAACATCATATATTTCAATGATTGAATGTAATGCTAAAAAAAATGATAAAATTGTTTGAAAATGAAAAAAAAAGAGTAAGAGATATAAGTGTAAATGTTTGTTATTCACAAACTGAAATAAATGAAATAATTAAAAATAAAAAATGAAACCAATAGAGTGATATTTCTTGTTTACTTGTTTATTTAACTGAAATAAATTCAACAAAAAATTTTTTTAACTATTAAATTTGAGAATGAAAATTTAATCGTAAATGAAATGAATGAATATAATAAGCGAATAAATGATAACAGTAAATAACAAATTTTTTACTTTTACTATTATACTATCTGAATATTTATTTTTAATATTTATTTCTAATATGATTATAATATTTGATTATGTGATTAATAGCTGTAGTGATAAGATGAAAATATATATTAAATATATATTAAACATATTGTGATAATGAAATTCTTGAAAGCAAATCATACTAATTATATATATTTGTATAATTTCATTTACTAGTAACAATATTTGATTAGCGATATTAATTTAATAAAATAATAAAATGTAATTGCATCGACGTTAAATTATTTCTTTTTTTTTCTAGCTAATTAAGTTGCTTTATAATTAAAAGTTCTCTTTTATTTTCCAATACATATATTAATTTTTAATCATTTTCATCGCTTTTTTTATGCTTAATTTTGGGATTTTTTTATGTTAAATTTTTACTTATTTTTTTTGTGAATGGATGTGATTAATTTGTTTATAGAATTATTGTACAATTAAATGTAAATAATATGCTAATAAATAATTGATGTGGAAAATTTTTTATTTTATTCATATTTGTTTTATTATTGTTTTTTTTTTCATTGTAATAAATGAACAATATCATTAAAATCATAATAACAGTATCCTGTTAACAGTGTTATGATAATATCATATTGCTGATAACAGTTTATTTTACTTTAAATACGGCAAATATCAGAATATAATCATTAATAATAATCATTTCATACCCATTAATAATAAATTATTACCAGTATTCTTTCTTCGATTTAAATTTAATAACATTATTTTTGTTTATCTTTTCTTTTTCCTCCCAATAATGTCTATTTTAATCAAAAAATAGAAGCTTTCATCCATTATCTCTTTATTCTAATTTGAATGGACAAAAGAAAAAAAAAACAAAACAAAAATTATACTAAAAAATTGAAATTAAAAAATTTGTCAAATATTTGTGTATCTTACCAATATTTCTTAATTTGGGCAAGGAAAAAAGAATTTGAAATTTAAATAATTTAAGAAAGATAATTCGTTTGTTTCTTTCTTAGGTAAATTTTTTTTGTTTATTACCATTTTTTTTTAAATTCTATTTCTCTTTCCACTTCATTGCGTCCTTTTATCTGATCAACCTCTCTTATTTAAATCCTATCTTTTCAATCATTAATTTATTTGCTCATTAAAAAAAAAAAACTGAAAAGCTTAAAATAAATTACTGTCTGGTTTCTCATCTCTCCCTCTCCCTCTCTCTCTCTCTTTCTTTTTCTCTCAACTTTTTTGTTTGAAATAATTTCAAAAAGAAATTCTAAAAAAAAATTATAAAATTATAAAAAAAAAACTGAAAAAGCAGTCAAAGTTTTTTTTGTTGTTGAAAATTAGAGTTTTTTTCTCCTTTCTCTCTCCTCTCTCTCTCTCTCTCCCTTTTTTTAAGCTTATCAATTTTTATCATGCAATATTACTTCTTTTGAATTTGTTCAAAACTTCCCAAAATTTTTTTTACAACTACATTTAATTTAAATAAGCTATTTTTAAATTTATCTTTTTTCTTGTTTATGATATTCTACCTTTTCAGTTTTTTTTTTCTTTTTTGTTGTCTTTTCCTTTTTTTTGAATATTTATCATTTCTTAATTTGTTTATATAAATATACATATTCTTTTGATATTGTTAAATATTCAACTATTGTAAATTTATAATTGTTTTTTTTTTTTTTTTTTTCTCTCCTCTAAACATTCCTGGGAAAATTTGTACTAATTGTAAATATTTTTCTTTTCTTTTTTCTTTTTGTTCTTCTGATTGCATTCACTGATAAGGGATCAGTCAGTTTAATTGTTAAAATCACCATTTTATATCATAAAAGAATTAAGAATTCGATAAATTCATCAGCCTTATATTTTAAGTTTAAGTTGAATTTCACACATTTTTCGTGAACGCATTTTTTTTAAACAATTTACTTTGGCCCAACAAAACGCATTTTTAATTTGTTGTGAAGAAAAAAATTTTGTATTTTGCAACAATTCTAAAAAGAACAAAAAATTTTTTGAAAATTTCAAAATTTTTCAAAATGTATATATAATTTTCAAGATGTATAATAAAATAAACGGACTATTTAATGATAACAATTTATGAAACTGAAAAAGTCAAAAAAAAATTGAAAAATTAAAACATTTCTGCAAACATTTCAAAATTTTCATAATGCATTATGAGATTACAGGAAATTCTTACTGAAATTTACTGAAAAAAAAAAGTGAAAAAAGGAAAAACAATTATATGAAAGATAATTCTCGAAAAGATAAAAAGTACAAAAAACCCTGAGATATCTTAGATTATATTCTAGGAATTTTTCACAATTACACAATTTACACTTTTTCATTGCTATAGAATAAAAGAAAAGAAATCATAATGAAATCACTCCATCTAAATTACAATTAAATTTTTAATGAATTGTCATTTCATTCAATAAGAAATGAAAAAAAGAAAAAAAGGAAAAAGAAAAAAAAACCTTCTTTTGTTCTTTTTTCGATGATTTATCCTTAAATCCTTTTATTTAATAGTAAATAAAACACTTCAAAAATGTAAAATTAAATTCAAACCAAAATTAAAATTATATTACAATGATTGCTAGGATCCAACGGTTGCATATCGCTTCTTGGAACGGTGTTACGAGGTTAGTTCGAGTGATACCATTGTTGTTTTCTATTATCAGTTGATTGGTTTTTTTTTTGGGATGGGAATTTTTAGGATGTAAGTAAGAATTATTTGATCTGAAATTAACTTTATAAATTTATACAATTGTTAAGATTTCTTAGCATAACAAATTTGGTTGAGATTTCTTGATCTTTTGTTTTAATCATCAAAATTCTTTGATCCTAAATATCTCTCATAATTTTTTAATTTATAAAGTTTAATTCAAGATGCAGCAACATTGAATGAAGTTTGTTTGTTAACAAATTGCAAAGATAATAAACATAATGATAAATTTGCAATTAATCAAATGCATGATTTTACTTTAATTAGCCAAAATGTTAATTATATTTACGTAATATGCGTAAAGCTTATCAATTTTTATCATGCAATATTCATGTTATATATTACTAATTAAGTTAATTCTGATAATTAGTTAAGCACAATGATAGAGTAATGTGCTACTTTCATTCCCATATTATCATAGAATTGATAAAATTATTGCTCATATTGTTTACGGTTTTGCTGAATTTTTTTATTATTATTATCAGATACAGCAGATAGCATTTTGTGAATCATTAAAAATAGTCGATGCTATTGTTATAAAGTGACATTTATTGTCATGCATGTATAGGGTTATTATTATATAGAAATGATTCATATGAAATGTTACGTAAATATGGGACGTGCGTTTACGTTTAGTAGATTTGGCGTACGCATATATATATGTATGTGTTTATTTGTTTGTTTGTAGACTTACATATGTATGTCTTTATTTGTTTGTTTGTAGACTTACATATGACATTTAATGTAGTTATGATTAATTTGTGCGAAATTTGCTGACTTTGATATAAAGTCTTTATGTTATATTCGTAATATTTTATATGAAATTTATACACATGTGTGGTGCATTGATAAAAATTAAAAGAAAAAAGATAGAATAAAAGCATTTGCAGTAATATTTTATGGAAATATTTCTTCTAGCTCTTTCATTGTCTTGTTTTAGCATTTTTAACAATTTTAATAATATTAAAATATTATTAAATTATACAATTTGAATAATGAATGCCTAATTGTTGTTTCTTTTTCAATAATTGATGTAAATATTTTTGCGTAATATAACTGTGTTAATGTTAAAAATGATTAAAGTTTATCATAGACATATATATGTGATAAACTTTGTCATTTTTACAAATTAAATAATTATATTTATTGTTGAATATTTTGTTAAGATTACATATTACTAACGATTAAATTAACTTCATTGGTGAAAATAGCAACAAATATTTCTGGTGAATACATTTTATTCATCCTCAATTATCAACATTTGCTTATAATTGGATCATCTGACGACGATTAGAGAAATATGGTTCTTGTCATGCGTAATTTAATTATTGCTTAATCGATTCTTGTTGTTTTTCTTTCGAAATAAGGAATATTAATCATTGAACATGGCACGAACTCCAGTAAGATTAAATGTTTACGATATGGTAAGTTTTCATTAATTTCTTTATTCAGTATCACTTTTTTTTGGCTAATTCTATTACATATATAGTTATCGGTGGAAATTTTGTTAAAAAATGACTGATAGTTTGAAATTGATTGATTTTATTCAGGCTTATTTGATATTTTAACATTCACAAATGTGCAATATTCAAATGTTACAAAAATTTTTTTCCTTCTCTTACCAATCTCAAGGGGTAGAATTTAACATTTTGATATATTTGCACATTTTTTGCATAACTGAAGCAAATTAAATTCAGAATTCATCAAAAGATTTATGTGAGAAAATTAAAGATGAAAAAGCTGAACTAATTGATGATTGATGTTTCAAATTAGATTGTAGTGTATTTACTATGGTCCTTTTTTGGTTTTTGTTACAAATCTAATTGTTTGATATTTGAATTTAATTTGCTGCTTGAGTCTTGCTGGTTTACTTTTAAATTTCATTATTTTAGTACTGGTTGAACGATTATGCTTCTACTCTTGGATTTGGAGTGTATCATACAGGCATTGAAGTATATGGTATTGGTAAGTCTGACTTCCAGGAAATCAAGTTTATACATAACTTAACATACTTTCACTGAAGCTCAACAATCATCTACTATTTTCAAAACTCAATTTCCAAATTAATTTGTTAAGAAGTTCTCTTTTTTTTTGTTTACTTTTTTTTATTTCAGAATATGCTTATGGTGGGCATCCTTTCTCATTTTCTGGAATTTTCGAAAATTCACCAAAAGATGCAGAAGAGTTAGGCGAGAATTTTAAATTTAAGTGAGTAATTTTATCCAAAATTTACATGGTGTTTATATCTTGTGATTATTTCATTTCTTCGAAGCATACTAACAGGCACTATGAAAATTGCTAGTAAGATTATTTTCTAAAAAACGAATGCCTTCAGAGAAAGTATCCTTATTGGAGAGACCGACTTCAGTGCTACTGATATAAGACATCTTATCCAGATGTTGGGAAGTGAATACAGAGGCGACAAATATCATTTAATTTCAAAAAATTGCAATCATTTCACAGCTGCTTTGGCTAAGGTATATAATAAGTAATTTTAGTTAGTTTTTTTTTTTTTTTTTTTTTTTCTCGAGTAACATAAAAATATGCAAAATTTGATGGTGAAATGAAAAATGGAAATACATAAGTCGAAAAGCGTATCAATGGAGGCATAATCATGAGTCGGAAAAAATGAAATATTATATAATGTTATCAAGTTTAATTTCATATTTTAATGTAGCATATAGTCTGCATAGGAGCTATTGTTAAAGAAACATTTCAAATAGTGAAAGAAATATTATTCAAAAAAAAATTGAAACTTGCATAAAATAAATATGAACCAGTCAATTTTTAAATGAATGAAAACAATTTCTATAGCATACATATGATAACATTTTAGCTTACCAAATAATTTATGACTTTTACAATGATAGCAGCTATTATTTCATTTTAGACGCTAACCGGAAAAGAAATACCCTCATGGGTAAATCGACTTGCTACTGTATCAAGTTCGATACCATTTTTGGAGCGTTGTTTACCCAAAGAATGGTTAACACCGGTGGCATTACAGCAAAGTTTGGAAGAAAGACGAAGAAGTGGGAATTATACTTCAGCATGTATTGAACGTGATCAGGAAACTACTGAACAATCAAGCAGCATGGGAAGACGTGCTAGCTTGCCGCTTAGTGGCAGCATCGGTCAGCTGTCTTCTTGTGCATGCTCTAACTTACTTTTGTTCTGTTTGTGTTTCCTTCTTTTAGCAAAAAAAAAAAATTTCTTTAAATATTAAATTATGAAAGAAGTTGAGATATACTATATTTTAATTGTGATATTGTATAGATTGCAACAATCCTAAATAGGTATTATTAATGTAATATATGCAATTAGAGGATTTCTTGATCATTTTCTTTTCATTTCTTTTAATAATATTATATTAAACTTTGAGTATTGGTTAAAAAAAGAGAAAAAAAGAAACCAGTAGATCGGTTTTAATATCCTAGTTTATTGGATCCTTTTTTGTTTAACTGGGAGTTGTAGTCACTTGAGTTCGTAGCCTATAAATTCTTGTGGTATGCGGATTTGATATGACTATCGACTGAATTGTTCACTCCTAGAATTTGGTCAAATTAGTTGTGATATTTTTTAAAATATTTTCCTGTCAAATTTATTCTTTGTAAGTTGAGTTAATTTAATTGCTCCAAAGAGGATCATATAATTGTGTGAAATGGTGTATATTAATTTTATTAAAAATCATATTTGTTGTGCTATTGTTGATAGTTAATGAATGATTTTACAAATCTTTTGTAAAATTTAATCTTTGTAGAATACAAATTTAAATTCAAACATTACAGAAGCAAAATTATCAGCTGGTGGTTTAACGACGAATTATTCATCTTCAACAAATCTTCTGAATGCTACAGATACGGTACGATCGTTTAGTCCGGTGCCACAGTTATCAAAAATTTGGAATTCAATCAAAAATTTTACTACTGATAGCACTCAGTCAACAACAACAACAACAGCTGTTTCTTCATCATCCAGTTCTCAATCTGTTCATGAGAAATTTGGGAAGTAAAATATTGTTACATCATTTGCATTCAGCTAAAAAGCCTTACAATTAATATTGCCCTTATTTTTGTCCTTTCAATTAGTGAATTTATTTCTGATTTCCATCTTGAAAATGTATTTGCTATGCTAATTCTTTTAAGTGTATTACGAAGACTTAACATTAAAAAATTCAGATGAGACTTTTAATATACATTCGAAAATTGCTAATTAATTTCAAATCAAAAAATCATGCTTGTGCTTATAGAAAACATATCATGATTTATTTTTTATCTAAATTGTAAATGTCTTCTAGGTTTTTTTATATCTTTATCAAAGAATTCCATTTTCTTCTTTATTTAATTTTTCGTTTAGTTAAAACTACATTTACTGCATTAGTTTAGTTCTTTTGGTCATTGTAATGCAATGCCTTTTAGCTTTATGCCTTAAACAATTTATTTTCTTATAATTTTTTAGCTTTTTGTCTTTTAATTCTAGCAATAGATTAGTATTGCTTTGTTACTAGATTATGTATGCATTTTTTTTTTTTCCTCAGACAACAATTTTTCATATAAAATATTTCTTTTCCGGAAAAAGTTATGAACGTAGAAACTGTTTGTTGTTCAGTTTCTTCGTTACTACATTTAATTACGGTCTCATTTTATTGCCTTATTTAATTCCACAATCAATCTTTTCAGAAAATCAGGATTTCTTGATTAGTGTAGTGTTTTAGTTAATTTTAGAAATGATAAATCTTCTCGCTGTTATTTCTAAATTCATTTATATTATTTAAATTTTTTGAAAGTTATTCATTTTTTAAAAATACAAATTCCTAATTTCTTTTTGAACTATGATTGAAACTATTATTCCACCAATGTCTCACTGTAATTATTGTACTGGCAGTGTTGAGGTCTTCTGTTTGATGTGCTTTCAATTCTTTTCCTTGTATCTGCTTTATCATATTTTCTAATTTGACTACATTTCTTCCAAACTTTTGATTTGCATATTTTACATTACTAGGTATATTTGATTTTGCCTCTTGGTCCATTTTTTTTATTTTTTTTTTCTTCAATTCTATTTCAGTTTATCATCATAGAAAAATTTTAAAAATTCCGGTCTTTTGTGAATTATTCCATTTAAAACTTTTTCCTTTCTCCTTTTTTTCTTTTGAAGTTTTATTCTTTCATTAATAAATTTCTTAATTTGTTTAAACATTTGTCTTTATTCTAAAATCGATGGAAATACTTCAGATTTAATTTGAGCGGTAATTAGAATCTCATTTAACATGTTAAAGTTTATTAATGCAGAAGTGAAACTTTTTTATAGTATAATATTCAAAGATTAAAGATTTAAAAGATTATAGAATTACAAATAAAAAGGGAGATTTAACAATAATTGATGATGTGATAAATTATTGGAATTTACCGGGACATAGCTTTTGGATAACAAATACATATATATGTATGTATGCCAGGTTGAGATTATTCCGTTTTACTTGATTTCTTACTTTGATTAATGTTAATTAGCTTCTAAAAAATTTATTTTTCTTTTTACTTTTTTTTTTCTTATATATGTATACATGCAGAATGAATTATTTAAAATTAAACAAATGAGATTGTAAAAGTTTTTCAATGATATATGATGATGTTATGAACAATTATTATTATTATTAGCTTCCAATCAATTTATCTCTTTAACAAAATGAAATTTCCATATGGAATTCGGTCTTTTTTTTTTTTTTCGTTTGAACTGTATACCTTATTCAATTTTCTTTTTTTTTTTTTTTTTTGAAAAAATATATTGTGCCACTGAAATATCTTTTCAAATGCCTTATTAAATAATTTAAATGTATTCAAATCATCAACATTTCAGACGAATGAGTGAAAAATATGCATTGATTAATAGCAAAATGATTTGAAGATTTTTTTTTTTTGTTTTGTTAGCTTGAAAACAACTTCAAAACATCATTGATCTTTGGTTAATATAGATAGAGCAAAAAAAGAAAGAGGAAATTTAGCCTAGAGAAAGAGTAGAGTGTTTTTAAAAATTAAAACTGTTAAAAATAAGAGAGAAAGGGAGAGAGGGAGAAAGAGAGGGGGACGAAAAAAAAAAAAAAACATCCGTCCTCATTGAGTTATGTTAATGTTCATTGAAATCAATGAATGCTATCGTTCCAAGAATATTTTATCCTGTAGATAGCATTAGTGTATATTTGTATTCAGGTATGGAATTATTACTAATAATTATTTTAAATGATAAAACAATTAATTATTATCCATTTGCAACATCACTCATTTTTCATTAATTAGGGCTTATAAAAGATATGGAAGAAGAATTAATTAAATTTGAAAAAAATAAGGATTATTTTGAGAATTAAATAATAAAATGTTACATAATCATACATTATAGTTAGTTGTTCAGCAATTTTTAACTTTTAACTTTTTTTATTCATTGAATGAAATTTCTAACACAACAACAAAAAAGAAGAAAAAAATGTGGAAAAAAGTTCAGCTATATTATAAACAAAAAAATTCATAACAAGTAATTTAGAAGTCATATTTTAATTTTAAAATTAAATTAATTTTATTTAATTATAATTTATATTTTTAAATAAAATAGCCAAATAGTTGCTAATTCTATTCAAATTTTGCTTAATGTTTAATTCATCATCAAATGACAAACAACCTTTTGTTAAATTATAATATGTAAATTTAAATATAAAATTGTTGATAATATATTTGTTTGTTACGTGTGATAATTTCACATTTAATTTCATTATTTGGTTGTATTTTAGGATATCTTAATCAGTTGTAAACCGTGTATTATCAATTATCAAATTAGATGTTATTGTGATAACATATCAGCAACGCCTATTTTGTGATAATGCTTGCTATAGGCTATTGTAGTGAGCATTATGATCGAAAGCTCGAACGGTTCGGCTATTTTGAACCTATACTACACTATCTAATTGGTGTTGTGGCAGGTATTTTGCATTTACAGTATTTAGATAGATCAATAGATCAATCAATAGATAGATAAAGATTTGAATTCATTTGTGATAATATTTAACTAAAAATATTATGCAAGATTGTTACTATTTTATTTTCCTTCTATTTATCATCTTACTTCTTAGTTTTATAATATTTACGGAAATGATTAAAAATTTAATTTGTAATGAATAATGAATTATTTGCTAATATTTTTCATTAATTATGCTATTATTTTATATTTTTTAAATATTTAAGTTGAGTAAATCATACATATCAATATTAATTTTTTTAAAAAAATAGAGAATTGTTGATATTGATAAGGAATTTACTATCTTTTAATTTGGATTTTATCAAATTTTTTTTTACCCACAAATTATTATTTTTTTTTTTAATCATAGATTTTCTAAGATTTTTATAGGTGCAGCAGGTGTGCTAACAGGTCATCCATTGGATACGGTTAAAATACGTCAACAAACTGAAACACAAAGTATTTATCGTTGTTGCTCATCAATCATACAAAATGAGAGCATTTTGGGATTTTTTAAAGGTGCAAAATTTTGTTTGTTTACGTCAAATGATATTTTTAACAATGTTTACTACTCTTTTATCTACTATTTATTACTGAAAAACTTTGCTATTCAAGAATAGAAATAGGTCAAAGTTCTTTTCTTTTACCATTTTAAAAATAAAATTTTGTGATAAAATATTGAAATTATATTACACATTAAATTTAGCAAATTTTATCGCTCAGATTTAATTTTGAAATAAATGAAACAAATGAATAAATAAAAAAAAAGAGAGAACTAAATTGTATTATTATTATTACATATAATGACAAAATTGATTTCCATGATAAAAATGATAAAAAATGATTCTGAAGTGAATTTGGAAAGACTAATGTTTATTATCATTTATTTCTAAAAAGAAAAAAAAAACACATTATTATATATTATTTCGAAAAATTTTTTTAAATTTCAAAATTTTAAATATTAATTGCTTATTTGATTTAATTTCTTAATATCATAAGTCATTTTTATTATTTCTAGTTTATTTCATAAATTTTTAATTTCAGGAATGTCAAGTCCATTGATAAGTTTTACAGCAATTCATGCTATAGCATTTGGTGTTTATGGTAATACAATCAAACTTTTTGATAATTATCACAATTTACTTGGCTCATTTATTGCTGGCAATATAGCTGGTATTGCACAATGCAGTATATGTATTCCATCAGATTTAGTTAAAATAAAGTTACAATTACAAGTATAATATTTGTTAAATTAAATATGTAAAAGAAATAAAAGTATATCATTGATAATCATTTTTAAAATTATTCAATTGCTAATTAATTTACTTTTTCTTCCTTTTTTTTGAATAAATTTCTTAGTTTTAAATAAATTTATTCTACTCCTTTTTTTCTCCCCTATTAGTTGCATAAAGACGAATAAAATTTTTTACAAACTCTTATTTTTTATAAATTTTTTTTTTTGTTTCATCTAAATTATTACTACAGGACATTGATATTTTTGAAAAATGATATTTAATAATTTATTATTGTTTTAAATAAAAGCGAACTTTTTTTTTCTTTCTTTTTCTGTTCCATTGTTTTTTATTGACTTAATTATAAAATTATCAAATTAATTTTGTTATAAAAACAAACAAACAACAAGAAAAACGGAAAGAAAGAAAAGAATGGGCAAGAAAATTTATTATTTTTTTAAATTTATATTCAAATTATATAAATAAAAATAATTTCATTACATATATATATTTGTATATTTAGAAAGATAACAGACAAAAATTGTATATATCATCATATGATTGTGCTCAACAAATGGTAAAACAACATGGTTTTTTCTCGATATATAAGTATGTTCTACATATAAGTTAATAAAAGTTATAAATATAATTTCTAGTAATATAATAATTGAAATTTATTTCAAATTTATAAAATGAATTATTTTATCTTGTCTTTCGTTTCTTTTTGTTTTCTTTTTTTTTTTCACTTGAAAAATATGTTATTTAAGAGGTACATGGATTACAGTTGCACGAGATGGTCCTGGTTATGGCATGTGGTTTGTCACATATGAATTTTGTACACAAAAGTTAAGTAAAGATGGTACAGCTTCGTCGTTAACTACATTTCAATTACTTTTAGCTGGAGGTTAAATTTTACCAATTATTAATTATCATTTTTTTTTTTCGCTGCAAATTATTGATTAATTAAATGAAAATGAAAGAGAAATGAAATGAAAAAAAAAATTGGATGAAAAGAATTATCATTTTTAATATTTATTATTATTATTGTTTTATTACTATTGTTATTATTACATTTTTTTTTCCAGGTTATTAATTAATTGAATGAAAAAAAAAAAAAAAATGAATTCGTATCATAACATTTATTATCACTACGATATATCATTTTGAAATTATGATAGTACTTTGCACAAAGAAAAAATCATTATTATAATTAATCATATATTTGTATTTTCAATTAAATTATATCATAATTTCCAATCACAATTATGTCATTTAATATATTATTATGTCATTTAATATATTAATATATTATAATTAATTGAAATGTCATTAATAATTGATTTCCTTCTTTCTACTCCACAAAATTATATCATAATTTTTAGTTATAATTTTATCATTTGGTATGAAATAATTAATTAAATATCATTAATAATTTAATTTTCATTCATATTTTAGGTATTGCGGGTATTATGTCATGGATATGTAATTATCCTTTAGATGTGATAAAAACACAATTTCAAGCTAATGATAGCATACATTCATATAAACAAATTTGTCAAAATATTATGCGAACATCTGGCATCAAAGGTTTCTTTGCTGGCATTTCAGCTACTATTTTCCGGTATATTTTTGGTATTCAAAATTTTTAATTTAATATTTAAATTTTTAATTCATTTATTTTGTATTTAATAACAGTAAGAATAAATGAGTTAAATAAATATTAACAAATCCTTAGAAATTTTATACATCATGAGATTAAAATAGATTAATATATCAATTTATCATATGTATAGCTCTATCATTCATTCATAAATAAAATATCAGTCGATTTTGTTGTTCAAAATTTTTAATTAAATACTTTGTGAATCGGATGATTAAACTGTTTACCTATTTAATATGTCCGATATGTATTTTTCTTTTTAAAAAATAATTTTTTTTTTGTAATTCAATCTATTATTGCAATAATTTGTTAAATTTAAATCTACAATTGCATTTAATAAATTATTAATTGAAATTGCTGAAAGAAATGATAACAAAATTGTCAAATGCTATTACTGATTTGATCATACCAATCTGATATCAATCTACCTTTTTTTTTTCTGATTTGAACATATAATCTATCTACTTTTTTTATGTAAACCAAGAATAGATAATATTATATTAAGACAATCAAAACCAAAATTAAACTTAATAGAATTTTCAAACTTAATAAATTTTTAAATTTGAAAAATCAAATTAACTTAACATCAAGAAATTCTTTGTTTAAGTTTTACTTTTAGAGCAATTCCAGCAAATGCATCCATTTTTTTTGCTGCCGAATGGTCTTATCGTTTGCTGTATAAAACTAGCGAGTGGCATGAAACATATTTTTCAAAAAAATCCAATGATTAAATTTAACAGTAATGCAGAAAGTGAATTTTATAACTTTTTTATTTTTTTTATTTTTCATCTTTGAATAATTCACTAAATGAATGAAATATTAGGAAAGTTATAGTAAGTAAATATCAAAACTGATATAACTTAAGGCAAATATTTGCTAGAACAGATTAGCATATAATTACCTTATCTATTTGTCTTATCACTTAAACACCTTATTGCTATTTAAATTTACCAATCTCATAGGTATGGAAAAACATTTCAGTGTAATCCAAACATTCATCAATAAATTTAATCATTTATCAATGTTTTTATCAGTGCGAATAATTTATCAGTATAAATAATCTTTTATATTTCCTCCATTGTTAGCTTCATTTTTTAGGATAATAGGATGAAGACACCAATCAATCAATTAATCAATCAGTGATATATCATTGATCATTATTGAATATATATTATTGTTTGTAATTTTTAAGTTTGTATAAAAGAAAAACAAACAAACAAAGAAGCAAATCAGAAGAACAAAATTAATTAATTAATTTTGTTTTTCAATTAACTTTTATTACAATCAATTTTGTTTTAATATACGTAAATGCATAGGCATACTTTATTGATTGCATTTATGATTATTGTAAACAAATTATAGGATTGTTAATGATACACTAGAAGCAATGATTTGTTGTTGTATAAATTTAAAATTAAAATTAATTTGATTAAAATGAAATGTTAATATAGTATCTAATATTTTCAAATTTATAATTTTAGTTTCATTCTGGTTAAAATCACTTCAATTATATCAATAATTAATTAATTAATGCTTTACAACAAATAATTTAAATATAAAAATCCATTTAATTCTCTTAGTTAACCACCGAAGAAGTGGGCGAGATGGCCGAGCGGTCTAAGGCGCTGGTTTAAGGCACCAGTCTCTTCGGAGGCGTGGGTTCGAATCCCACTCTCGTCAACAGTCGCAAAGTTTCGGCGTCCCTTTTCCTCAAGAAAAAAAGATGTCACACAGTTGTATGTGAGAGAGAATATTAATTACAAATGGTGTCATGATGAATGGTCTCATACATCCGTAAATTCTTAACGCTTCCTTTTTTTAAAAAAAATCATTTTAAATTCGATTCTCGTAAATTA